AAAAAAAACAAACGAAGAAGAAGAAGAAAACCATATATCCTAGCTAAAGAACAAGGCCGTTGATTATAATTGAGGAGACCTGCAGAAGGAAAGATCTTGTGATAGAGAACAGATTCACGAAAGCACATAGGTGAATTTTCCGCAGACAGCAGCTATGTGTTTGGTTTTTAGTGTTCAATTGTCATGAAAGTTTTAAGGCAACGCTAATTTGATAAAATAATATCAAGGTTTTCAAAAATAGACCGGTCAAGCTAATGGTTCAATGGTTCACCGGTTGGACCTGATCGAACTGGTATTTAATTTATTATTTTTAAATATATATATATATAGTACTTTGTGTAATAAATTAATACAGATAAATATTATTAATAAAATATTTAGACAATTTAAACATTCAAATGCTTAAATTAATTGATAAATAATTCATACATATACAGTATATTTGATCATGCATTATTTTTATTTATATTAAAAATACTTTCATATATATTAGAAATTATTTTAAAAAAAATGGACCGGATAAACCAGTCTGACCGGCCGGTTTTTGGCCGGTTCACTGGCAACGGATCGGACTGGCCGGTCCGGTCCAGTCTGGTTTTTTAAACAATAAATAACATGCCTCGAAAAAGAAAAAAGAAAACACGTAAGTACCTGCCAGTTGACATGGACAGGTAGGGAGGAGCCAGATTCCTGTTGGTAAGCAATGTCACCTGTTCAGAAACAGCATAACGATCTCATCCAAGAGTGCTACAATGTTTCAACATTCTTGAAGGAAATGAACAATTTTATGCTATATTTTTATGCTACCAGACGTGGAGTTTCCAAGCACTTCTTGCCAAGATGCCAAGTCAACTGCTGGTTTGCCCCCATATGCAAAACTGATGCCACTTAAATCTGGATCCGTGTGAGACTGGGAAAGTGATGCATAATTCAAAGACAAAGCACTCTGATCCCCTTCAGGAGAAAATGAAAACATCAGAAAAGACAGATTGTGAACAGCTCTAAAAGTGCATCACATCCATATCAATGGTAAAAACATACGGGAAATATGAAATTAAATACCTGGAAGAGAGAGTTGGTTACACGAGCTTGATTGAACATAATCACTTCTGACTGTAAATGGTGACTCTACATATGAATGAAATCTAGAACTAGCTTGGTGATTATCCTCCACAGGGAATTCTGTCAACGTATTTGGTTCCATAGAAATAACAAGAGGACAAAGTAGTTTTAGTGCCAAATTCTACTTCGTTCAAAATCCATTAAGAGATATGCAGACAGGCACATAGATACATGCACAAACTTTACCTGATTCAGCATCTTCATATGCTGATGACATGGTACTGCTGGGGCTAGCTCCACGGAAACTGGAAGACAATAAGCTATTATTTTCGGAATTTGAGGCAACTGTATCACTGCTTCTAAGAGAGCTGATGTTCATCTTATTACCCTGCAGAAGGAAAATAAACGACAAATATAATCGCCATGTTAACATAATTTTGCTTCCTCGAACCTAATATCTATAACAAATGGAAGAACCTGAGTTTCTCCTGCAAGCACATACACACACATAACGTGGTTACAGAAATTAACAGTAAATAGTTATAAGCTAAGCACATACAAAAACGAGGAGCAGCTCATAATTTATTTTAATCTTGAGCAATGGAAATGTATTTCCATGTCTGAGGCAAAGCTCATGCACTGTTCCCCTTACAAATATTTCAAACAGTGGGACATTATCTGAAAATCTCAAGATTTAAAAAGCAACCAACAACCACCAATCAAAAAGAACTAATATGATATTGGTGGAACCTTAGTATCTCTTACCTTGACTTCCAGATAGTGCACAAACACTATGTGCATGCGATCCCTGCAAGATTAGAAACAAAGATTTATTGATACTTAGCATGTGAAACAGTTGTCATATTAGTTGTTCAAAACATGGTAGGATGGATATTAAACTATCCCATGACACGCAAAATGATTTTAGCTACTGAAATATGGACTAGCATGGACAAACATATAGAATAAAGCAAAGGGAAATCAACGGATACAAAATCAGTAAGTCCAGGCGACATATACTGCAAAATTACCCTTCACCTGTTTACAAAACAATGTAATGGGAAAATGATAAATTAAGAATATACGGGCATAACCAAATTCGGTTCCATGACTAGTAATTACAATTATCTTCAAATATATCAATAAACTATCACTCACTCTTATGAAAACAATTCAATCTTTGGAAGTTGTGGTCTTTTAAAGGTCGACTCCATGTTTATATTGTCATAAATAAACAAAACTATCATTGGTTTCCATGGATTTTAAGTTAGTATTATTAGCTTTGTTAGTATTGTTTGCTTTTACTGAGAGACGAAATATTACAATCACGACATATGATTAGTCCTGATACAGATACAACACATGTAAAGCTCTATCACGATTCCTGAAAATAAGCTCAAAATAATATTGTTACTATATCTCATTTTAAGAGGCAGTACTTACTCTTCAAGCAACCAGTAGCTGCGTCTTTGGAAGTATTCATTATCCTCGCCATGAGCATAGTAACAGTGCAACATATCAACACTTCCGACCTGAATAAATCAAAAGTAGCATGAACCCCTCACACCTCTCTCGTAGTTTCTATGATATAATAGATGTTCCTTACTATGTGAAAAAAACTAAATTGACAGTGCAAAAAACATTCTTAATTTTAATTATGTGCATGCAAAAAGAGTTGTGGGCCACAACATTCTTAACAAGGATGTGCCCACACACTAAGCCACTGGCTCCCAGGTATGGGGAAAAGAGTATTAGAACTATACAAATTATGTAACTTATTGAAGATGATAGGAAACCTATCACGTAAGCAACAGAAGACAGCATTGCAGCTCAATACAGGGTGAAAAATTCTTCAAGAAATTTTTGGGTTTTGCAAACAGGTTAGCAAGCTATATTCTGCAAAACAAACAGATTCCTCGACCAAGTTGGCAATGGATCAATTTCAGAATGACAAGGCCGCAAACTCAAAACTCAATTTCATGATGAAAGGAAAATACAGATCAACTGGTTCAATCATCACACAGAATAATGCAACACAATTCAGGTCAAGATTACATGTTTCAGAGACAGAAAAATTATATTTCAGGAGACTACTATATGAAACAAAAGGCTATCATCGTATAGATCAGACTGCATCAGCTTTAAAAATGGAATCCTCCAGGGAAAAAGGAAAAAATGAGATATCATAGTACTAGCCAAACAATTGAATGACTGGAGGATTGAACAGAAGATCCTCATTCGCCGTATGCACTCCGTAATTTACCTTCAGTTTCTCATGGGCTTCTTTTACAGTTTTACCATCCTTTTTCTTTCTCCAATTATGTCCATCCTTCCGGAAGTATCGCAATACCTTTCGATCGAAGAGAAAAACAGAACCACCTGACAAGCATTTATCAACAGTGGAATAATTATTATAGAACATTGTCCATCTGCCCATTACAAACTCAAACAGAAGTAAGCCATTGAAAACACGGACTTGGCATCTTCGCTCCAGTAATTCGTTTAGTTCAATCCTTTCGTGAAGCAAATATAATGAAGGAAATAAAAGCTCTACAGAGAAGGCAGAACCAGAAAACAAATGCCATCTTCAACACTCAGTAATATCATAATCGGTCCACTTGGTGTACATGCTCGCTTCACAAGTTCATACATGCATTTGAAATCTATGTTCACTAGTCCTGATTCCTGAATTAACCAATGAGGCACAAAAGGAATGAAAAAGTCCCAGAGCCCCAGACAGATTAACACTATTTTCAAAGATCGATGCTTGAAGAACAATCAAACGGAAACTATAATATAGTACACGAACACGAACAGCTGATAAGGCAAAGAAGTGGTAATTCACACATTATGCATTAACTACTTTATATCATTAGCCTAATACTATCAAGTATAAGATAATGGCATCTCAAGCTTGCTCCAGAAATGCATTTTAAGATAAAACTGTTCTAGCTTTTCACATATGAGATACACAACGAGTTCTATACAAACAACTGGCACGAAATTCTCAAGGGAAAACAAAAAAGAGATGCAATCTCTCAGTACAACACCATACACATCCCCACCCCCCACCAACAACAACAACCAGGCACTTCATCTCCTATTCATCTGAAAGGCCAAACATAGAAGTTATTTACCTGCCCTTTTAGAATAACGCCCCTCAACATGAGCACCCACAAAAATTATGCCAACATAGAGGTAGTAAGTAATATTCTAACATCAATTTAACCAATATCGAACAATACCTTCAAAAAATTACTTTTACCCACAAACTCCAACAGTAAGGAACAATTTTTTGGGAAAAAAACACCAAGAAGGTAACATCGGCAGGACAATGGTAAATTGTAAGGCAGGAAAACTAAACGTCATGTAAAACTAGGATGATCAATAAAAGTTCCAGAGAAAATTTGATGCAAATATAGCAGACCGGAATATTCAGTATTGTGTGGCATGGATCTCTTGAAGAATTTTGGGAAAAAAAATAGAAATAAGTCAATAAAATATGTGCATAATTGTCAACCACATTTCAAGAATTTAACATCAATCACATATGAAAACATAAGATAAACTGAGACCACAGCAACAAAACATTAGATTATCAGGTATACAAAACTTCTGCATTGGGCTATTCTTTTGAGCAGAGTCAGATCCATCCATAATCACACAGAAGAATTATCATCTACCAGAGGTAGTTTTCTCAGCCATCTAGGAGGATCAATGGTCTTTCTTAGTTATGTAATACTTATAATATTACCCAAATATATTAAATATACTGAATTTTTACACAACTTAAGTATAAATAGTTAATGAACAGGAGTACTGACTAGTCAAAGGACGTACTGACTGGCTTATTTGGAGCCTCAGGAGAAATATGAAACTTTTGATAGTTTCTTAGTATTTCGGCTATTTCAGCAGGTCTTAACCAGCGATGTTGGGCTTCTGACAAGATCTGCTTTATATCTGCACAATTTATAGAAGAAAATACAGTTCAGAAAAACAAATAAGAAGATATTAATTGAGCTTCATTAATATCAATTACTTGTTCTCAAACTTCCCATGACAAACAGCTGAAATACCATATATAACTTTATAATGGACTGAGTAAAGTTGCTCATGACATAAGAAATGATTATGTAACAAGAATTAATGAAAAGCACAAGTACTAACTCTAGTTGAACGCACACACGTACATTTTATATGAAAAACAAGGAAACAAAATGGATAACTAAAAATAGACATAATCTTGAAAATACTGCGCTACAGAATATAATTTAACCAAAATCATCTTTATATTCAGGAATACACCCCCTCCACCCCAAAATGAATAGGCTAGTTCAACTTTCCATACATTTTTATCAACACATGTTGTTGGAAAGGTAAACTTTCATACTATTTCCCTAATATACCTTTTATGTTGGTATGGATAACATTTTATAATTTGTTATTCATTTAGATTAAGCAAGGAACAGAGAGAACTTTATTATTTAAATTCTCTAAACAAGACTATATGTAACATTTTTTACATTAGTTATAAAAATGTTATGTAACTTATATTAGGGAAATAATATGAACTTTCACACTATTTCCCTACTTCTTTTTACATAAGATTATAAAAATGTTATGTAACTTTATTTGAAAAGTTATGTAACATTTTTTACATAAGCTTATATATGTTTAAATTATTAAAAAAAATCCAAATTAATGATAATCTACAATTGAAAAGGTAATTATTCAGTTTCGACATATGAATCATGAAAATGATGGCATAGAAAATGTATTAAAACCCACAATAATAGAGAAAACATAAAAAACTCAACAATAAAAGTATTTCTTTTTAAAATTAATAGCTTGTGGTTTATAAATTTATATATAGAGAATTAAATGAAGTCTCGGATACGATACACGTCCGGGATGGAACCATCACCCTCACAAAAGTGTTCATGCTTCTTAGGCAGTGCTCCTGCCGGCCTGCCCAGAGCTGTTAGCATGGTTCTCTATTTCAAATAAGCCAATCACACCTAACACTGATGTTGATGATTTATAATTCCAGCCAGTTAGTATGCTAAGAGTCCTCGTGGAAATAGATCTCAAATTGTTCAAACACTTCATTTAAGTTGCAACAAACATAATGCAACCACATTTTAATGATTCCCCTTTTTAACTGAAGAAATAACAAGTACAAACTCTTGATGAAGAAACAGCATAGATGAGCTGCAGGAATAATTATTAACTGTACTAAGAATTAACCAATAAAAACAATAATCCAACACATGATCCTCATCAAACATTAGGTCGTCAAACCCATGTTGTCTTTCCATTATTGATTTCCGGAAATGCTTCCAGTACACCAAATTCAGTATACGAATTAGGCGAAAATCAAACAATACTCCACAGCTGAAACAAACTGAAATCATGAAAATTCACGATCTAAAGAGTGATTTAGGACATAAGGTTGAGTTGAATCTTTACCCAATCGGAACCCTAGATTGCCCGACGATCCGCTTTCAGCCATGGATGATGACTGAATGCTTGAAGTCAAAAGCTTGTGGTCAGCTTTCATACATAAACGCGCTAGAGAGAGAACAGTAATAACGTAGTGAATTTTTTACACAGCAGATTTTGCGCAGTACATTGAGGGAGGTATGTATGTAGTCACGTTCACGTATAGAAGTGTTGACGCCCAGCCAATGGAACCATGACATCTGTTTAGCTTGTAAATATACTTAGTACAAAGGTGTTAGAAAGCATATGTAAAAAATTTTGAAAAATGCTACAAGTAGATAATAATTGTACATAGGGGAATGGTTCCAATGCATTCATTTATCCATTTATTTAAAGTGAGGACGTAAAACTCATTTTTAGCCACAAGATTTGGTACATATCATGTGTGACCAAGATTTACTCTTTTTTTTTATTATTTTAATTATTTAAATATTATTTTGATCCGTTGACTTCGGCGTTGACCGTTGACTTTCGGTGTTGACTTTCGGCGAAACTCGTTGACTTCCAGCGTTGACTCCGACGTTGACCGTTGACAACTAACTTTCCAACTAGGTTAGTTCTCTGTAGTTGCTAGGTTAGTTCTCTCTAGTTGCTAGGTTAGTTCTCTGTAGTTGCTAGGTTATTTTTCTAATGTTGCTAGGTTAGTTGTCTGTAGTTGCTAGATTAGTTGTCTTTTGTTGCTAAGTTATTCCTTTCTTGCTGCTAAGTTAGCTGTCTTTTGTTGCTAGGTTAGTTATCTTTAGCTGTTAGGTTAGTTGTCTGTTGTTGCTAGGTTTTTTTTTTTATCAAACAACGCCCCGGAAGGGCGGGGGATTGGGCTGGATCCCCAACCTGTGCATAGATCAGGGCCCCAAAATCGGGAGCCCAAAATATCAACGAGCAAGCTACAAAGGTCTATGGAGTCTCACAAACAGAGTCAAAACAAAAAAAGAAAAACCGAAAAACGAAAAAGAAACAAAAACTACAAACAAAGCCGATCTTCGGGCTAACAGATGCCCGAAATAAATGTCTATACTAATGAAAACAGAAATCCTAAACTAGTGAAAGCGGAACGCTGGATATCCAAGCTGGTCCATCCGTTCAATAGTGCGAAGGCGGAGTGGAGCAGTGTCTTAAGTTGCTAGGTCCATCCGATCTTCGGGCTAACAGTCTGTTGTTGCTAGGTTAGTAATTTGTAGCTGCTAGGTTAGTTGAGTTTTGTTGCTAGGTTAGTTGTCTTAAGTTGCTAGGTTATTTTTTCTTGCTGCTAGGTTAGTTGTCTTTTGTTGCTAGCTTAGTTATCTGTAGCTGCTAGGTTAGTTGTGTTTTGTTGCTAGGTTAGTTGTCTTTTGTTGCTAGGTTTTTTTTTTTTAAACAAACGCCGCCCCGGAAGGGCGGGTGATTGGGCTGGATCCCCAACCTGTACATAGATGAAGACCCGGAAACTGGGGTCCAAAGTATCAACATAGTCTCACAATCCAAACAGAAACGAAAACAGCAAATGAAAATAGAACAAGGTCTGTCATCGGGCTAACAGGTGCCCGGAATATGGATGTTCTAAGAAGAGCAAAACCAAAAAACCCAATCTACTAGAATCGAAACGATGGATATCCCAGCTGATCCATCCGAACTAGCGTGCAAAGGCGGAGTGGAGCAGTGTAGGTCTGATACGTGTGCGTGTCTGGTATGGTAGCGCCAAGACTGGCAAGGTAATCAGCAGGTCTGTTCCCCTCACGGAAGATGTGTGTGATCCTGTAATGGACAGACCGAAGTAGATCTCTAATGCGCATAAGTGGGTGCTGAACCTGCCACGAGCCCTGATGGCCTGAGGCCATGATGGTGACGACAGCCGCCGCGTCCAGCTCAATCCAAATATGACTAGAGAGGTCGGCAGCAATCTGAAGGTCAATCTGTAATGCCTGAATCTCTGCATCGTAGCTCGAGGAGGCCTGAAGGGATGTGTGGAATGGGTGATAAGAGCTCCACTGTGGTCCTGGATCAAGCCTCCTCCTCCGACAGTACCGCTATGGCGATCAAAAGATCCATCTGTGTTCAGCTTGGCCCAAGGAGAGTCGGGTCAAAGCCAAACAACAGCTCTGGGCCGAGGGTACCGAACAGGCGGGGGAGGAGCCACCCTGTAGCGGTGCGGTGGCGTGCAGCCTGTCCAGTCACGTGCAGAAAGCCTGCCCAATGCTGTGAGGAGCAAAACGTGTCTCTCCACCTACAAAACAATGTGAGAAAGCAAGAAAGTAATATCCCTATGCTTCGCACTATTCCTTTCCGTCCAGGTGAACCAAAGGATCAGACAAGGAATGAGGAAGCTCACGTGTCTAAAGTGTGTGCTCTGTGAGAAAAAACTCAGGAGCTCAAAAAAACTGTCTGTGGAGGGTAAGGGTATATAAGTCCAAGTAGCAAAATGCTCCCACACTCTCGTCACAATCTCACTCTCTAGAAAAATGTGGGTAAAGGTCTCGGTCTCATGACGTCCAGTCTCAGAACAACACACACATCGGGAGGGGAAGGAGATCCCCCTCGCATGTAACACAGTGTCCACGGGTATTCGGCGCAAGAGGAGGCGCCAAAGGAAAACAGATATGGTAGGGGTGAAAAGGTCGCTCCAGATGGCTCCGAAGAGAAGATTCGGCCGATCTCTCAGCCTGATCTGCTCCCAAGCCGAGGTAGTAGAAAACACACCTGATGATGTAAGTCTCCACCTCATACCATCCGAACCGTCCCCCGAGATGGGTATCTGCTGAATCCTATCTAATAACTGCTCACTAAAACCCGTCCCGGAGCCCAACTCTCTATCAAGCTTCCCCCTATCCCACGACCCGTCCGTCCAAAGGTCGCGCACAAGCAGGTAGGGGGAATGCGACACCTACCTATCACTAGACAACGGCCTATCACCTAACCACCACTCATCCCAGAAACTAACCTCGCCAACCCCCAAAACCCAAAAAATGTGATCCTGGGCGCGCCTACCAACCCTAGTAAGGCGCCGCCACTGTCTGCTATCATGCGCAACCGCCGTACTTTTGTTGCTAGGCTAGTTCTTTCTTGCTGCTAGGTTAGTTTTCTGATGCTGCTAGGTTAGTTGTCTTTTGTTGCTAGGTTATTTCTTTCTTGCTGCTAGGTTAGTTGTCTGATGCTGCTAGGTTAGTTGTCTTTTGTTGCTAGGTTATTTCTTTTTTGCTGCTAGGTTAGTTGTGTTTTGTTGCTAGGTTAGTTGTCTGTTGTTGCTAGGTTAGTTGTGTTTTGTTGCTAGGTTAGTTGTCTGTTGTTTCTAGGTTATTTATTTCTTGCTGCTAGGTTAGTTGAGTTTTGTTGCTAGGTTAGTTGTCTTAAGTTGCTAGGTTATTTCTTTCGTGCTGCTAGATTAGTTGTCTTTTGTTGCTAGGTTTTTTTTTAACAAACAACGCCCCGTAAGGGCGGAGGATTTGGATGGATCCCCAACCTGTGCATAGATCAGGACCACAAAACCGGGACCCAAAATATCAACGTACAACAATCTACAACCGTCTACAGAGTCTCGCTAACAAAAACAAAAGCAAAAAAGAAAAAACGAAAAAACCAGAAAAAAACAAAATAAAGACTGTCTTCGGGCTAACAGATGCCCGGAATAAAGATTCAATCTAAAGAGAACAAAAAACCTAATCTACTGAAAGAGGAAAGATGGATATCCAAGCTGGTCCATCCGAACAAACGTGCGAAGGTGGAGTGGAGCAGTGTCGGTCTGAAATGTATGTGTGTCTGGTATGGTGGCGCCAAGACTGCCAAGGTAATCACCAGGTCTGTTCCCCTCACGGAAAATGTGTGTGGTCCTGTGATGGCAGACCGGAGTAGAGCTCTAATACACATAAGCGGGTGCTGAATCTGCCACGAGCCCTGGTCGCCCGAAGTCAAAAGGGTGGCGACAGTCGCAGCGTCTAGCTCGATCCAAATATAGCTAGAGAGGTGGACAGCAATCTGAAGGCCGATCTGTAATGCCTGAATCTCTGCATCGTAGCTCGATGAGGCCTGAAGGGGCGCGTGGAAGGCGGTGACGAGGGCGCCGCTGTGGTCCCGAATCAAGCCTCCTCCTCCAGCAGCTCCTGTATGAGGATCAAACGAGCCATCAGTGTTTAGCTTGACCTACGGTCAGGTCGAAACCAAACAACAGCTCTGGCCCGAGGAGGCCGAACAGGCGGTGGGGGGGCCACCATGAAACGGTGTGGCGGTGTGCAGCCTGTCCAGTCTCGGGCCGTGAGCCTGTCCAATGCTATGAGCTGTGAAATGGGTCTCTCTACCTGCAAAACAATGTGAGAAAACAAAAAAGTAATATCCCTATACTTCGCACTATTCCTCTCTGTCCAGGTGAACCAAAAAATCAGACAAGAAATGAGGAAGCCCACGTGTCTATGGTGTGTGCTCTGTGAGAAAAAACTCAGAAGCTCAAAGAAACTGTCTGTGGTGGGTAGGGATATATGGGTCCAAGTGGCAAAATGCTCCCACACTCTCCTCACAATCTCACTCTCTGAAAAATGTGGGTAAAGGTCTCGGTCTCATGGCGTCCAATCTCAGAACAACACACACACCGAGAGGGGAAGGAGATCTCCCTCGCGTGTAACACAGTATCCACGGGTATCCGGCGCAAGAGGAGGCGCCAAAGGAACACCGAAATGGTAGGGTGAAAAGGTCGCTCCAGATGGCGCCGAAGAGAAGATTGGGCCAATCTCTCAGCCTGATCTGCTCCCAAGCCGAGGTAGTAGAAAACACACCCGATGATGTAAGTCTCCACCTCATGCCATCCGAACCGTTCCCCGAGATGGGGATCTGCTGGATCTGATCTAAAAAAAGCTCGTTAAAACCCGCCCCAGAGCCCAACTCCATAGCTAGCTTCCCCCTATCCCACGACCCGTCCGTCCAAAGGTCGCTCACAAACAGGTAGGGGGAATGCGACACATGCTTATCAATAGACAACGGCCTATCACCTACCCACCACTCATCCCAGAAACTAACCTCGCCCTCGCCTAAAACCCAGAAGATGTGATCCTGAACGCGTCTACCGACCCTAGTGAGGCGCCGTCTTTTGTTGCTAGGTTAGTTATCTGTAGCTGCTAGGTTAGTTGTGTTTTGTTGCTAGGTTAGTTGTCTGATGCTACTAGGTTAAGTGTATTTTGTTGCTAGGTTAGTTGTATTGTATTGCTAGGATATTTCTTTCTTGCTGCTAGGTTAGTTGTCATTTGTTGCTAGGTTATTT